AAAACTGCAGAAAGGTGACATTATCAGCAAGTCTCAAGAATGTTTCCTGCAAGTAGAGACACATGGGATGATAGGAATTAATCAAGGCCTTAATGTCACCCAAATTAAAATGAAGGCCATTTTCATTTAGATGGAGAAGAACTGGGCTGAGAACCCTTCTGTTTGTGACAATGATATTTTTCGTTTGAAGAAAGATGTCTGTTGACCTCCATGGAACCTGTCCTAGGACGATTGGGCAGATCTCTGTCAGAAAAAAAATTAGACTCCCGTGACTAAGGTTGTGACCGAATAATGGTCCTGCACCGTGGGATCAAAGGAGATAGACCCAAGCAGTCACTGGATGTGATGATGGGGACAAAGACAGGAGTAGATGTAGACTTGTAAACTCTTTTATCCACAGAGGCAAAAGACTCTGTTGGAGGCACAGAAAGATCTGTCTGCACTCCCATTGTAACATTGGAACGGAGTGCAGCAGCATATGTCCAAGATGAAACGGGACAACAACTTCCAAGCCTCAGGTAAGATATGTTATTGACAGACCTCAGGTGCTGTACCTCTTTTTCCTCTACCCACTTAGGGTAAGAATGAAAGTAAGAAGAGTGGGAACTACCACATTTGACACAGTGAGGGTCCAGTTAGCACTAGTAGGCATCATATTCTTTATCACCACAATGAGCACACTTCAAAGAGCCAAGACAAGATGCCTTAGAATGACTGAACCACTGACATTAGAAATACTTGAGAGAGTTAAGATTATAAAGCTGTACCTTTCAGTTCAGTTAACCTGCCTTATCAGTGGTAGGTGGACATGACAATCTAATAGTCTGTATAAGAACACTAGTAGGTTGCAGTATTCCATCTTTTCGAGTGGAGATGCATTGCACAGCTGAAACTCCTTGGCTGGAGAAATAAGAGAGTATCTACAACTTAGGGATGGCCTTTAAGTCCCTCTTAACAATAACTCCTCGTGAGGAATTCAAAGTAGCATGGGAAGGAACCTCAATAGGTAGTATTTCCCAATGACCTTTTATTTCAGGAGGAGCTCATTATTGTGTAGCGTAGATGTTTCTATCAAAATGTCCCCAAAACATAACTTCTTGACTGACTTTGGAAAGTCAGCAAGCCCCTCTAATCCCTTCTGGATTGAAAAGGGAGACATTTGACATAATGATTTCTCAGTCAAAGAATGAAGAATGAGAAAACTAGGAACAGGAACAGACTTAGGTGATGACTGAGGAACAGAGTCCTACATATGTGATCCCTTACCTATTAACTGTTTTTTAATTATTTTATTTTTTCTTGATTTGGGGGATCCATAAGAAAATGAAAGTTGTTCAATGCCCACTGACCCCATCCACCATGGAGTCCTACAAGGGGATGCCAAACAAATGACACTGTAGCTATGCCAGGGCTTCGTGAGCACTATATCCATACATCAGAATCAAATGCAATGTCCACAACACCTGTTGAGAATGTCCAACACTGGTACTTGGTTGACCTTAACCCAACAAGACTAGCCAAATGACCCTGGAGGAGCCACCCGTCTACAGGAATTAAAGGCCAAAGTGGTGTGTTAAAGTGCCACTGACATAAACTGACCCATTAATGACACCCCTCAACCACCAGGATCCTCTCATACTTTTCATGGGATGCCATGCATGGCAAACATGTGGATGGATATTCGATCCCAGAGGTCCCCTCACCACCTACAGGAATCTACCTCAAGGGGAGCTCATGTTACCCTAGTGAATTAAATAATGCACAGGCTACTTGTGAACTGCTCATGAGCATACCTCATAAAACTATTTATTATTATTATTTTTTATTTTACCGAATCTAGCCTAAAAAGTTTCTAATTTTTATAAAATTGGGGTATTTTTATAATAGAGAATAACGAATACACATGAAAAATAAAGGCACTTACCTGGGTCGTCATTTTTCTTTGTCGACTGTTGGTGACACTTAACTCTACTTTTTTTTCTTTATATACCAATAGTAGTACTGCACTAAATAATTTTTTATTTAATTAGGTAATGTACCAAAGAACACAGAATAATAACATACAAAAATCAGACAATGTCCCAAAAGTATCACAATTGTTCTGGCTTTCTAACTATGTGACAAGAGACATTAAAAATTCAGCTAAGCTAACTGATATCTTTCCTGTGAGAATTAAGATTGAAGTGGAAGCAAATCATCCTATTCTCTGCACAAAAAACAACATATTATTACACATCATTTGATAGATTAAAACCTCGTCTTTCTATTTGTTATAAATAATATAGTATTAAATGTCAGAGAGAACTATTGGCAATTTTGAAAGAGAGGATGTGAACGGTGGGCATGGCAGGAGATGTCGGATTCTCTTTTGTGGCTCTGTAACTAAATAAGATAGAAGGCTATATAAATTATGCTTTGCCTGAGCAATAAAAACATTATAATGAGTAATTTACATCGAATTTTGTACTTCTTGGAGGGTGGTAAATAAATTAGAGAAGAGCGGATGCCCAAAGAGAAAATGTCAATTCTCAAACAAGGGGAAATTCAGGATTTTTAAAAATATTTTATTATAAAATTAAGAACTTAACACTTATATACAATTAAAATTTAGAAAATTAGCTACACTTTAATGCCACATTTATTCATGTATCATCATAAAAAAGTAGGTTAATTAAGTTTTGAATGTAACTAACTAAAATATTGTGATATGTGCAGAAGATGATGCCCGGGGTGGAAGGGTTAATAAGTTAACCCTATAATGATGTTGTCATTTTTAAAATCCTTTCTGCATATGTTACTGAGTTACACTCAAAATTTGATTAAACCACTTTACTATCAATGTATTTTAATGAAATTATTTTTACCTAGTACGTTATATTTCAAAGTTATATATCTCAGTTTTTATTCCTATAACAGTAATTAAAACTGGAGCTATTTTTGTTTTGTATGGGTGCCATTGTGGTTACAATTATCAACTTTAAGATATAGTATAGAAGAAACTGTGTATGTAATTTAGAAGTTTCTGTGCAGACATTCAAAGTATACCCTATTTAGCTTGTTTACGAGTAACTCAAGTCAAATTCAAAGAACTTGTGTCTAATGAAAATGTTGTAAAAATTCTTTCAGTTTAGATAAGCTAATCCACTTGCAAAGTAAAAGCTGTGTTGCTAAGCAACAGTTTTAAATTGAATGGCATGCTTATAACTAATAGATAGAGAAGATTTTGCAGAATCTTTCTTGTAAATTATCTTCTACCTACCATGATGTTAATATTGACCACACAGGTACACAATTCCTAAGTATATTGTTGGATATTGTTGTCTCTAACGCTTTTTTTCTTGCCTCATATATGAATTTTAAACCATAAATAATACATAATTAACTAAAATATAAAAGTAAAAACTAAATACAATTTAACTGTCTATCAAACTAAAATGTATCAAGGTAATAAACAACATGAAGTACTACCATGGAAAAATCTGCAAAAATACTTTAGTTGTTAGAAGTATGTGGTAATGAATATTTGTAAAGCCAGTTTTAATATAACCATTGGGACATTGTAGTTTAAAATGAGCTCTTTCTATTGGTTATAAATGTACATGTGGTAAATACATGTGGTTTGTAAATCTGAAGTCTAAATATAGAAGGTGTGTGTGGCTACTGTCAGGGAGGGTGAGAATATTTATTTATTGTGTTCTTTGAATTGACTAGAATGAACTTCAAACTTGGACGGATAAATAATACTGTCAGTGTAGAATTCATTCTAGACATACTTGATCACTGTAGATGTGCTATTATTCAAGTTTTAGAGACAAAAAGTTAAGCTCTGTGAATGCTCGTGTTTTACATGACAACAAAACTAATGTTTAAATATTTTTTTAAAGGTTTCTTTTGAAACAAAGGAATTAAAACTTAGATAATATAAAACTGTGAATTTAATGCTAATTTCATTAAAATAAATTGATAATAAATTTGTTTAATTAAATTTTGAACTTCACTCAGTAAAACCATGTGGCATATGCAAAAACGAGTGTAAAGTGTGTGTGGCAGTCAAATGGCTAAACTTCCATGGTTTTTACTAAAATAAAACATGTTAAGCTTCCATATTTCCTCTATACTCTATAATTAGCAGTACTGTCTAACTTCAATGGTTTTACTAACATATTAGGTCCTCAAGAAATTAATATCGCTTTCTTTTTAGATAAAAAAAACCAAACAACTTATATATATCAAAACAATATATATATATTTTTTAATGAAATAGTTTCCATTCTTATCGATGATGCTTTTCCATCTTACAATCAAACGTGTCACATGTTAACATGCATTATCATGGAGAAGAGCACCTTTCCAACTGACGAGTGAAGTGCATTTCTGAGGAAGGGCTTGTTTTAAAAGTTCCACTTACTGACTATAGATCTATGCATTGACAGTTCGCTGTGGATTGAGGAGATTGAAATGAATTACTCCTCTGATGTCCCACCAAATGCAAAACATCACTTTCTATTGATGGAGTCCAGGTTTTGGGGGTCGGAAGTGGTTTTTGTCAAGAACTGAGCCATTGTTTTTGGCATTTAATATTTGCATAGAGAATCCATTTTTCATCACTGGTGACAATTATGTCCAAAAACGGTTCACGCACCAGAAGAGACGAAGCATCGTTCACACGTTGGAAACGATGATCATCGGACAGTTTGTGAAGCATCCAAACAACTTCTTTATAGAGTTTTCCCATATTCCTTAGATGTTTATGTATTGTTTGATGTGAGAAATGCTACAGGCTACAGTAACATGATGTTTAGGCGGTTCATTTAGCTATTATATGTGATATACATTTTATGGAAGGTGGTTAATGAAATTGCGACATTAATTTCTTGATGACCTAATATATCAATATCCATAGTTTCTCTCTACTCTACAGTTACTAGTGCTTGCCAACTTCCAAGGTTTTACTAAACTGAAAGAAATAGTATTAATTTTATGCAGTATATCTCACTTACTGGATTGGCACTATTAACCAATTTCCGTGGTTTACTGAATTGGATCATGCTCTCTTTCAAGTTATTTAAAGGGCCTTCAACTAATACTTTATTTTCCTTGTAGAAAGTCAAAAGATGGTTCCACAAAGGTTGCTGCAAAACGAAAAAAAAAGGTACCAAAGGTATCAAGAAAATATTCTTAAGTTAAATAAAGGCTAAATAGTTTTAGCTTTTAACAGAGTTTGCTTAATGTTAACAAAAATAAATTGATCTTTAAAATCAGATCTCTTAAGAAATAGTTTAGAAAAATATATAAAGTAGGAATGCATAAAAATAAAACTATGTTTAGTTTGCTATTTTTAAAAAATCTCAAACTTTGTTTACTACTCACCTTAGACAAAACTTTAGGGTTGCCCACAATGATGATTCCATACCTACAAGAAAATTAGGAAAATACTTAAAAGCATAATTTTTTCAAATGAAACACAATTTGGAGTTTAAATGGGATTTTTTCTAAACAATATTCATTTCTACAGCTAAAAGAAATAAAAATAATTAAAGTAGAAACAGGTTTAATATGTTGTTGTTTTGTGATTTAAACCACTAATAGTTAGACTTATTTTATACGTGTTTGTATATATATATGTGCATGTGTGTGTCTTTGTATGTATATACATAAAATGTAATTGTATATGAAAATGCATATCAATAGTTCAATACCCATAATACATAAAAACTAGAATTTGTTTGTAAAACTAGACTTACAAAACCATACATTTAAGAATAACTGCTAATAGTTAACACTGCAAACAACAAAAAATCAAGCCTAGAACCAATAGTATCAGTTTTCTGGTTATCCCTTTGAATTGATGGATTTTCAAAAATTGGCACTATGTTGGGCATTAGAAATCTTGATTTTTTAAAATATTAAATTCCTAAACAAACAAGCAAATAATATGAAATGTTTCACCTGGCTCTGGTTAAAGCAACATTAAGTCTTCGTGGATCATTCAAGAAACCAATTCCTTGGTGTTCATTAGAGCGTACACAAGACATGATGATCAAATCCTTTTCTCTTCCTTGAAAAGCATCAACACTTGCTACCTCAATTTCCTATAAAGTTTGGTAAAGGTATGTTAATAATAAAAGTATAATGAAAACATGTATGCATGGACTCACACACATGTATATTAAAAAACATAGATAATTATAATATTTAAAAATGAAATTTGAAATAATAACCAGGCATATATTTAACAACCCATCAAAACTTTGGAAATTTCACAGTAGACAGCCAATTACAATATTCCTACTCCCTTAACTCTTTCAGCATGGGGTTGGTCCCTAGGACCGATCTTGTAATCATTTTGTGCTCGTTATAGTTTTCATGCTATAACTTTTTATTAGTAAGCAAATGTTAATGAAATTTTGCAGATTATCAGTAAACATCACATTGCTTTCATGTGCAAAATATCAAATTATTTTATTAAGTCTTAAGGTTTGTTAAGCATTGTTTCTTTCATGCCATTTTTTTCTTTTCCCATGTTGCCTATTCAACATTTTTATTAAACAACATGTTTATGTTTTCAAAAGAAGCATTCATTTGCAAAAAATGGA